CATTGACATGTACAGAAAATGGGGAGAACTCTCCACAACGTCAAAGAAAACAGTTTATATACTTTAAAGAGACAAAGTTATATTTAACATCAATGATAAAAGACATTCATTATTTCTGGAGGAAACCCAAGGCGTGGTAAAGAAAACCAAGGATGTATGTATTTCTGTGAACATGAAACTGCGGTTTGACCAAGCAAGTGTCCTGTGTTCTCACTGACCTTGGCCTTTTGGCGATGAGAGGAAAAACATCACCGCATTTTGTTTCCGGATATTTTAACAACCTCCTTGATCATGGACGTGTTACAAAAACGTTCGAGTTCTTAGCACCTTAATTTCCTGATGTTCTCGGATTAGCAGGAACTTAACATGGCCATAGGAGTGACTAACCGGTTACTGTGTTCAGTTCATTTTTCATATGCGAGTAGCACTAAAACTGGGAAGCATAAGGTGGTGAATAACGCTATTGTCCTGCCATATTTGTAGCTGAATCTTGTTTTAAGACAAGGTTTTTACTAATACAGGCGAGATAAGAGTCAATTAAGCCAATAACTCTATCTGCAAATAACTAATATTCTTGGCATCAAGTTTAATTCACGTTGCTTATATCGTGCGGTTTTAAACAGATCCGCGACCTCCAGGTTGGTCCACCCCACTATATAAGCCTTTGTTTGAGGGTTTGTTCTTTTTTGTGCCAATTTGTAAATCGTGGGCGGTATATTATTTTTAAAAGGGTTTTGTTTTTAAACCGTAAGGAAGTTTCCGGCGGAATATTTTAACCGACATCACGTATAAGGCTACATACTGTGAGAGTGGGTTTCTTTCGGGACATACTTTAACTGGTAATTATTTTGGCTTATTTTGAGCACTTTTGAGTGTTAGTCTTAAAGATAGACTGCACATTTCACTGACTATAGTCACTCACTTACTCATCCTCTTAATGGCACATAAGGCGGCAACACTGGCGGTCTTTATAGGCTCGATTACCAGCCGCTGTTCGGGAAAATGAGCCCACGCTCTTCTCCCGGGGAGGAACGAAGACCGGACTCGAGAGAGCGGCGGAAATCGAGCCTCGGCGATCTTTAGCTAACTTCAAATTTCCGGGACTATAGTAAGATCGACTTTATTCGGATTGTTTACTTTTATTTCACAAAATCCCTACAGTCCTGCTTGCTACAAATGGAATCCACTCTCCTATCTTGAGCCACCGGGACAAAAAACGCACTACTAATTCTGTTATTACATGAATTATTCTTATTACTACTATTATAATTACATGGTAAAAATGGCTACCAGAAACTATATAATGAACAGGTTCCAATTGGTGGTTTGCAAGTGACGTCAGCTGGGGGTCATTAACAAAAGATTTCTAATTGGCTTCTATTGTTTGTACCCCCAACATTTGAATCTCTCGGGATTGGTTGCAAACCAGCAATAACTGACTCGGGTTTGAAGTTTAAATATTAATAAGATGTTACTGATGTACATCTGAACATAGTTCTCGTTTAATAAACAGTGAAAACTACTCACAGAAAGAAAATCCCTTTCTGACACAGACTAGCTGTATAGAAATGAACCAAACTTAAGAGACATTTTAGAGCAGTTTTCAATTGAGTGTCGAAAATAATTCGGAATAATTTTGGTTTTACTTTACTACGCTCTGTGATTGGTTTAGAAAACTCGCGCCATCTACTCAACCAATCAGAAACAAAATCAAAACCAATCACGACTTGGTCACACGCGTTTTCCCGCGCTTGGCGCAGGTTACGTATATTTGCTTTGAGTTCTTATTGGTTCGTTCTGCTGTTTACGTTTACTGATCGGCCATTGTAAATTGCTTTGGTTTTACGACACTCAGTTGAAAACTGCTCCAAAGTCAAACATCGTTAAGTTAGTCAGCATTCGATCCTCCGCTATTCAATGTAATTAATTTTTGCGAACGAGATTTCTCTATAAATATTTAGAAACAGAAATAGTTTAGTTAATATTAAGGATGCAAGCATGGAAAGAAAATGTCGTTTTTATAATATATGTTTTAATTTAACTCACTCGTGCTTTAAAGAGTAATGTGTACGATATTCAATTTGTTCTTATAATTATTGTAAATGTTTGAAAGTGTATATGAATTTTAAGACATAAGTTAGGTGGATATTAACAGTTGAAAAATAATCATACTTAAATGACATATGTTACGCATTGTGCTTTTACAAGTGATGCGATATCATAATATTTATCTTTCAGCAACGCATGTTGTCTGTCATATTTTAAAGGATGACTTCCCCACTTCTCAAAAAAAAAGTTTAATGATTAGAGTTACAGATGGGATTTAAATGGTTTGTGTTGGGCTAAGTGACGAATTTTAGAGCGGTTTACAATCGAGTGTCGAAAGTAATCAAGACAAACATTGAAAGTTATGTTTGGTTTTGCTTTACTACGCTCTGTGCTTGGTTTAAAAAACTGGCGCCACCTACTCAACCAATCAGATGAAAAACAACTTGGTCACTCTCGTTTTCCCGCGCTTGGCGCCGGTTACGTGATTTGCGTCGAGGTCTTGGTTTCAATACACTTTTCGCATGAAGACACTCGATCGAAAACCACTCTAAAGTCATAACAATATTTGGCTCTTAAACTTTCAACCGAAAAGAAGATCTTTCCCACACCAAGATACTTAAAAATGCACACGTTTTCCTCTACCTTAAAGAAAATTCATATCCATGGATTTATATTTGTAATAATATCGTGCGTTGTACTGTTAGCAAGCTCGAGGATTCGAGAAACTTTAGAGGTGTAAGATAACTTATATTAAAATTGCCACTCATTCAGGAATGATGGTCCATTAAATAAAGAGGTTTAACTTGATGAGTGACGAATATGGATGAAATCACGAAAAGTCAAAAAGTCGGGCCGACGTTTTCAAGTTTTACGGTGTTCTTGGGAACAATAGCTCAAAATCAATTATTCTGGTTTGTTCCCACCTCAGGAGAATGAATTGATGTCTTTCTGCTATTGTTCAGGGGCCATTTTGCCCATCAGCGAGTGTACCTTCATAATTCAAGCGTAGTTTACACACAAACTTAGGAGAATTCTCATGATACTGTCCCTTTAACTTGTTGCGCAAATGCTATTGCTGTATACTAAAACCTCAAAATAACAGTGTAGTAAGGTGAAACAGTCTATTTCCCCCTTAGTTCATCCAGAAGTAAAATAAAGTGAGAGGGCAAGAATGGCCGCGCGAAACCTGTGGGCGCGTCTCTCCCCAGTCCCGCCAACTTACGAATCTCCTTCCCGTCCCAGTGTCTTTTCCTACCTCTCGTAGACCCCTGTCTCCTCGTCCATGAGGTTGTTACAATTTCAGGGCCGTAGCTAGAATTTTTTGAATGGGGGGGCAATGAAGCGAGTGCCGAAGGCGCGAGCCGCTAGGGGGGTCTGGGGGCATGCCCCCTCAGAAAATTTTGAAATCTAGAGGCGCGGAAATGCTATTTTCAGCATTCTCCATGATATATTTTGTCAAAAAATCAATCTCGATCAAGTGTAAAAATGGCAGGTATTTTTAGTGCTTACAGCAATATTTCCGAGGTTTTGTTAACTTGATACATACCGTATATCGGCCTTAGTACACTAAACATTTTATTAGTCTATTTCGTGTGTAAAAGATGTCTCCAGTTGGATTTCCGCTCCAAAATATATTTCTCAATCAATCGTAAATGTTCAAGTTAGTATGGTACCGGACAGTCAAAATATAACTACTTACTTAGTTACCTAAGAAGTAAGAAGTTCTCGCCTCTTCGTTCCAATATGCCGAGCAAAATCTGGGGAGAGTACCAAGCCTTTGAAATGTTCAATCTTGTTTTTGAAAGACCCTCGGCATATATTTTTTATCAGGAAGGCGGCTGTTTGAACGCGAAAAAAAACATACGCAGTTTTCGTTTTTCAGAAAGCATTACCCATTCTTGGGGGGGGCAACTGCCCCCCTTGCCCCCCGCTAGCTACGGCCCTGAATTATTTGTTATCGAATAAAAGAGGAGATACACTCTTTTATTTTTGGCAGTGTAGATAGAGAGAGTTTTTTGTTTTCAATGGTTACGTTTTTGATCAACGGAACATTTGATTGATGATGAAACTCGCGCATGCAGAGATCGCGGATCGAGCCAATGGGAGTGGACAAGACTTCCATGATTTAGTTTTGTTTAAGCAAATCAAACACGAAGTACCATACACAGTAACTTGCTACTTGTAAATAGCCATACAGCAACCGACGCAAACACAATACACCAAGCTAGAGTAAAAAAAACACATTTAATATTTCCGCATAAGGTTGTTCGATTAAATTACTCAAAACATGCACGTGTCGCATCGAAATTTTTTTATTCCCACTATTTAAACATTTGTTCTTTGGGAGGGGCATTTGACCAAACGCAATCCCGGAGTCGAGTCCAGTCCAGTGTATTATTTAGCCCCAGACTCTTTCGGTACTTTTAATTTATTCAATATGGCGGGCCCGTCAACACAACTCACTCGATCACTGCTCACTCATGGTTCGATTTTATCCCCCAAGTGGCCGCCGAAAGTACAACTGAACACAACCGCAATAGAACACCTAAAGTCATAAAGATATTTTCAGTATCTTGTAAATACTGCTGAGTATAAATGCGCGCAGTCAGTCACTAGCTATCATGCGGCCGGCGATCGAATATTAAAAATGTTGGAATTGTACGTTTTCCGATAAAAATTAGTTTAAATGTTACTAGTATCACTAATAGAGTATTCTAAGTTTTCATGGGATCAAATATTCTTATTACTTGTCACATTCTTTATACGAGGAAATTTTAATATAAGCTTATGTATTGAAAAAATATGTTGCCCACGTGTAAAATATATTCAGGCATTCCTAAAATGCCCAAAAAAATTAAAACGAAAACATATTTTAACAAAACAATTGAGAATTACTAAAAAAAGAAACGACGAAATTGAAACAAGGGTGAAAAAAAATTGAAAAAAAACTTTCCTTCGAGCCGGAGTCGAACCAGCGACCTAAGGATGTCATCTTACACTCTACAGTCCTCCGCTCTACCAACTGAGCTATCGAAGGAACCACAAATACCGAAAGAAAAATTTAGCTACATAAATATATTTTCATCACAATACCAATTCTAAAGACATGCAACTTTTTGAATATTCGACCTTTTTTTGCTTTGTTAAATACATTCGCCAAAGGATCAAAATGTAAGTTATACAACGACTACTACGATTACCGTAATTATTGTTTTTACCGGCACAAAGGTAAATATTGCGTGACATTTATACCAGTCACGCATGTTCATTTTGCGGATCGTCAAATAAATTAAATCGCAGCAAATCAGTATTTTGATGAGGCCACAAAGTAGTGAGTCATCCTGGTCCCAGAGGTTTTCTTTCTTCTAAACTGAAGCGAAATTGAGCCGCGAATTTTTTTTCTTTGCGTCGAGATCGTCGCAACAGTGGAAAATAATTTATGCAAGGAACATGCTGAATATATTGAAATGAAAAACGTCAAATGTACTAGGCAACCTCGTCCCCAGAGTCTTCTCCGCTTTCAAGATGGCGGGTGGGCGCGAAACCTGGCGAAGAGCAGGTCACGTGACCACAAAATTAGCCAATCGCGAGCCCGCCGCCATTTTGAAACAATCAAAATCTCCAATATTTTTGGAGACACGTGACCTGCTCTTCGCCAGGGTCTTCTTCGCGCCCACCCGCCATCTTGAAAGCGGAGATGACCCTGGGGACGAGGTTGGGAGCGAGGAGTTCGGCGAACGCGAAGCGCGATCGTGGGAGGGAGTAATCCCTCCTGCCGATCGCGCTTCGGAACTCCCCTTTATACGCCTGCCACGCAGGCTACAAATGTACAGACTTTTGTATGGCCGTGTAGCAACAGTTTCGAGGCGTTGTTTTTGAAGATAAAGGAAAACCAGCCAACCCAGTAAAACACAAAAGGAACGGAGGTTTTGAGAGTCGGGTTTGTATATGATGACAACGCCAGTATGCAAAACATCGACAAAAGTTGTAAAATTCTATCTTTATTTTCATGCGTATATATTCTATTCGATTTACTGTTAATGAGAAATCGTGAGCCAGCAACATTCCATGATTTGTTTTAAATTATTACAAAATGATTGATTTTAAGACAAAAATAATTCCCTACTATGTAATTTATTAAAGTTATTTTTTTAACGAGGCCTAAAAAATTTAATGTTATAAATGAAGCACTTGCTGAGATAAAATCTAATTTGTTTAAAAAAAGAAGCGTTACTTTTTCCGTAAATTGTTACATGCACAGTACAGTTGAACCTCGCCATCTCGAACTCAAATCCACTTCCCTTGGATTTGCTTTTTCAGACATTTACTATCGGCCGTTATCTCCAAACTATTTTTTCGTTTCCCTTGAGAGTTCGAGATAGACCTTATTCATAAATGGCGGCCGATTGATTATTCTTTTATATTCATGCTAATCAGCCTACCTAGCCTAGCCTAGCATGTGCAAAATTCAAAAGAATTTTTACTCTAAAATGAGGCTAGGTAGGCTGATTAGCATGAATATAAAAGAATAATTAATTGGCCGCCATTTATGAATACGGTCTATAGAGGGGTTCAACTGTAATTATGACATAAGACACTGAGCGTGCTGTGATTGGTTGAAATATAGTCAACTATCGCCTTGGACACCCCGTTATTACGGACACTTGCTATAACGGACAAAATCCAGCCCTCCCCCAGCGAAAGCTATAGAGGTTTGACTGAAAATTATTCCCGCCATTGCGGACTCTTGCAATTACGGACTCCAAACAACGTCCCGAGGGTGTCCGCTATAACGAGAGTTGACTGTACCCCTAATTGCCATACCCTATGGAAACAAAAACCTTGTTTCTTTTGAGGTATGGAAACACTCGAGAAAGTTTGGGAGACCTCGAAACATCTGCCTAATAGAGCAGTTTTCAATTGAGTGTCATAAAACCAAAACCAAAAAACAACGTAAACAACACAACGAACCAACGAGAACTCGAAACAAATACACGTAATCGGTGGCAAGCGCGGGAATTGGTTTTGGCTTTGCGTCTGATTGGTTGAGTAGGTGGCGCAAACTTTTTAAGTCAATCATAGAGCATAGTAAAGTAAAACGGCCAAAGCTTAGCGATTACTTTCGACACTCGATTGGGAACCGCTCTAACTCTTCGAAAACACGTTTTACAATGAATTATGACTGTGAATCCCGAATAAGGACTAGTAGGTGTCAAATTTGATTCATCCAATAAGGCACGTATTTACACCTATGTTTTTCTTTGCAGTTAATAAATAAAGAGAAGGGATTGGGGCACACCTCGTCTCGCCCCATCCCCTCTCGTCCCAAACCCTCGCCCCAGTGCTACTTTCGAGTCACAAGGAGATTATTTCGAGAGAGAAAGAGACTGGACGTAGTCTGAGTTGTACAAAATTCTAACTAAGAATTTAAACAAGGTAAAAAAAAAACACACACAACAACATTGACGTCATCAACCAATAACAGTCTTTCTCAAGACTAGACACCCAGTCACACTCAACAAACAAATGCGAATTAAAAATTATTGTGCAAAGCACGGACTGTTGAACTCTGTACAGATGTTTAAACCTCGTTGGGCATTAATCCATGGAGTAGGGACAAGGCTTGAGGTCTATAGAATGCTTTCAGTAGAGTGCTAGATGCCACTGGTCATATCAAGTCATATCAAGTCAGATCCAAACTCGTTGACAAGGAAGTGGTACATGAACCGTGCTTTCTTCTGCGTCAGTTGATTGACAGTTCTCTTGCTAAGCCCCGCCTCCTTGTTTCTCGGTGCTCTTAAAAACAGTGTACCAAACAAGGTGGCTGCGGTTAAGAAAAGAAAAGAGTTTGTTACCAAACGATGACCAAAGCCTATATTGATTTCTTTAATGCATAGTGGATGAGGGATAGAGGAAAAGCACAAGGATGAGTCAGTGAGTGAGTGAGTGAGTGAGTCAGTGGGTCGGTCGGTCGGTCGGTCGGTCGGTCGGTCGGTCGGTCGGGTCGGTCGGTCGCGGTCGGTCGGTCGGTCGGTCGGTCGGTCGGTCGGTCGGTCGGTCGGTCGGTCGGTCGGTCAGTACGTGAATGAACAATTACGTGAGTGATTTGTGCGCGTGAACGTGCGAGTGCGTGAGCATGAGCGTACGTGGCCGACTGACCGAGTGACGCGATTTGCCTCCATCCCAGAACATCCCAATAACTAGCGTACGTGAGAGTTAAAAACTGAAAATTAAAATGATTCAACTGACCCAGAGTTTTGGCGTCCAGTTTATTATCATTAGAATTTAGCAACAGTTCTCTCAGGAATGAACTGATGTACGTGAACACATTCCGGTGGCTCTGAGGCATTTGAAATATCAACTGCAAGTAAAAAGAAGACAACAATGAGAAACTGATACAGCTTTATACTGAATTTGAAGAAAATAAATACGCGCAAACAACACGCAACATGAAATGCAACTAGGTTGAGTAGCTAATTTGAAAAATATATTTTGTTTCAAACTTTAGTGGAATACTGAAATACGAATCTTATGGACAGTTTTATTCTCTTTGCCTTTCGCCACTCGAATCTCCATTATAACAGGCTAATCACTGCGTCCCTGTTAACAAAGCATGTATAACTTGACTTACCTGTTCAGCGACTGGTAGTAACATGACGTACCTGTTTACAGAGCATGTAGTTATTACAACACTCAAGTGCTCTCTGGTAAAATGCGTAAGGAATCACAGGTTCAGGTAAAGCTTCCAGGAAAATAAGTAAAGCTTCTGCTATGGAGTAAACACTACCAGCTTTCAACAGTCAAGGAAATATAACCAAGTGCTAAGTGAGGTGGTCTCATTATACTGAACTTAATGTCGCCTAATGGTTAGTGCGTTGGACTCCAGATCGAGCGGTACATGTTCAAGCGCTAGCAGGGGTCATTGTGTTGTGTTCTTGGGGGGGGGGGGGGGGGGGGGGTGGTAACAACACTCATCTCATACAGATTTGCGTCAAAATGGACGGTCTACAAAAGTTATAAAATCAGAAACAAACCTAACCAAAACATTTCTTATATGAAAAGAACAGGTAAAATAATTGGAGATAGTTACTAAAACACTGAAAGGATACGCAGTTTACCGCCACGACAACAATCTAAATGTGTCCTGATGTCTTCCAAGTCTTTCTCAAACCCAGACTGCCTGAGAATATTCTCCTGCAAGAAATCAGAGAGGGCAGGAGTTAAATATCTCATCTCCCTGGGTTTTTTTCCAGCCATTTCTTCCTTTATGCCGTTTCTCCCTCCCCCATACGTTTTTCAGCCATTCCCTCCCCCCCCCCCCCCCCCACCACCACCCCACTCCCTAAACCATTCCTCTCCCCTCGAGTAAAGAGTTGGCAAGATTGCCTTAAGTGTACCTTTGTGTAGCGATCACCATTTGTCTACCTACCTGACGCATGCCACATTTAAACAAGTGATCTGTTAAAAGCCACAGCTCTTTTGGAATTTCTAGTGGTTCGTTATCCGATGAAGTCGAAGGATTTGATAAGTTGATATGCTCCTAAAAGATAAAGATTGCTTTCTTAGAAATATGATGTGATATGATATGTACAAATGTATGCAGGTTGATGAAATAGTAAAGTAAACTCAGACTCTACATCCGCGCCAACCCACCCCACCCCAGTAGAATAAAATTATTGTACTTACCAAGTTAACTAGTGTTGCTACAGGCACTTCCCTGATAGGTCCGTACATGCGTACTAACGCCTCAATAGATGAACCAAACACGCTAGGTTGGTAGTTGCCGCTGACCGACACCTGCCTACTGTTAAGAAAATTAATACCGCTGACTATACTATAACCACTACAAAAAAATATCTGACTTATTGTAGTCTCAGTCAACAGACATCTCTCTTCGCACGTTCAATTCTACCCTAGCTCGAGAGATGTCTGAGATTTTGCCCTAAAAAAATTCCATACTGATGACATACCTTAGATACACATAGTTATTAGATCCGTGTATTGCATCTCTGATTGGTTGTTGCTCAGTTTTAAATT